TTATAAAGTGTTCTTGCAGGCTGGACCTGTAAGCCACATACAGGGAAGCGTCACCACTTGAGTAAGCCCTTATGCCCAGATTTTGGTCCACCAGTATCCAATGGGTTAGGTATTTGTTGATGGCTGGTATTTACATACTTGACATTGCAAGACTGAGACTTTTCTGTGTGGCATGTACACACACATCCATACATCAAACTCATGCTAAACTGGGTGTGCTAAACATTTATTCATGTGCTTGGCCATTCACACTCAACAAAATAAGAAAAGTAAATTGTATAAATTTTAGATTTTATATTGTTATATTTTTTATATGCAAAATGTTGAGTCTTAAGAAAAATGCATTTAAGGTTTGAAATTGAGAGTTTTCCATAACCATTGGTTAGAAATGGATGATTTTTCATAAGTTACTTTATGAACACAATGAGAGTATGCAATCCCAAAAAATCAAATTAGATAAATTAAAATTTATAAAAGTAATATGGGTGATCCCCAGACTTTGCAGTGAGAGAGATCATTGATGACAATAGTTGACAGATCTTGAAAGGGGAAAGGGGAAATACCAGCTTATGCTAATTACCAGAAGATTATTAAGAAATCTTTACCATCTACTGCAGCTTGAGATCTAGAACTGTTACCAGGGAATTGTTAACCCCTTCCTGACAGGTGACGCCTTGAGGCGTGAAAACAAACACCTTGAAATGTGGCATGCGGCTGTACGTGTATGCCGCAGTGGCGCTCCAAAGCGCGGCGAGCCAGTGATTTGGCCTGATGTACTGAACTCCCGCGCTCAAAGTTGGCATGCTGCCATTGATCGCCAGAGCGTAGAGTTTTTTTTTTTTTTTTTTTTTTTAAGTTTTTGTAACCAGTCAGCAAAGGATTAAAGAATGATGTAAAAAGTTGACAGATCTTGTAAGGGGAAAAGGGGAATACCAGCGGATGCTAATTACCAGGGAATAATTGACCCCTTGCTGATGGGGAAAATGAATGAAAAAATGGGGAAAGTGCTGTGCTCATTTTTTATATTTTTTATATTTTTTCTTGTGAAATGTCTCTATACATTGATGGCTCTGCCTTACCTTGAATTGGCAGGAAAATGTATTTTTTACTAGTGTTATGAATATCGATGGTGTTATTTTTATTATTAACAGTATGATTACTATATTGTTATAAACATTAGTAACAGCAAAATAAGCTAAAATAAGATATTTTCGAAAATTAAAGAAAAGGGGGAACAGGCGAGACAGGCAGTACTCATAATTGGCTCATTGGTGGCTTAGTACAAGTATAGCCATCTATGTGTAAAAACAATCAAATAAGTAAACTTACAGTGGGCATGGCATGCCATGCCTGTTGGCAATGGGTTAAGAAAACTTTACCATCTACTGCAGCTTGAGATCTAGAACTGTTACCAGGGAATTATTAAGAATAATGTAAAAAGTTGACAGATCTTGAAAGGGGAAAGAGGGAATACCAGCGTATGCTAATTATCAGGGGATTATTAAGAAATCTTTACTATCTACTGAAGCTTGAGATCTAGAACTGTTCATACCCATAAAACCTTATTGTCATGGTCTGTGTAGGTACTTTTAAAAATCTGGGCCCACTCTTCCTAGCATAAGATTCCATTTCTTAATATGAGGTAAGGAAAATGGTTTTCATGACTAGATCCCCATTCTGTAAGATATGTAATACAATAACAGCAACCACCCTTTGTGATAAAACCTGTGACTGTAATTATAGCCATGTGTTTTGTTGCATTAAAAATCTTTTTTGGGAAACAACAGGAAGTATATGTATACCCAAGCCAGTGTACTAGCTTAACCTAGCGCTGCCGGGTGAAGAAAAAAAAAAAGATTATGGAGATTAATGGCAACCGAGCCAACTTTGGGCACGGGAGTTCACTACATCAAGCCGAATGTCCCGCTCCAAGCGCCTTGGCACGCCACTGCCACGTACAGCCGTACTCACAGAACAAGCGGTTTATAACGCTGCTAGACATGGCCTGGCAGTATCAGGTTAAGGAGGGAGGTTGCCAAAAATCAACTCTGCATTTAGCACACAAAAAAGGTCAGACAACATATAATTCCAGCTTACCTCCATGAAGCACATGGAGCTTACTGCGTATACAAGGGGTTAGGGTTTGCCACACCAGCAAAGTTATGACCTAAGGTCTGGGAAGAGAGAACGTATTGCAACACTTTGCATAAGACTATATGGATTTTATTAATGAGATCCTTATGGTCATTGTCTTATCAGATAGCAGTAAAAATCTTTGAAATTATCCATAAAATTGTGGTCATTTAAGTGGGGGGGGGGAATTAAAATCAACTTTTTTTTTCCATCAACGATAGGTGTGAAGATAGCATAAGGACCATTAGTTGACCTGTTACCACAGTACAAGTAATGCTCACTAGTTTTGTTTAGTGAGTATTGTTTACTCTTAAATGGCTCTGATACTGTTACTATCATCACTCATTAATAATTTTGACATTTTGAATATGAAAATGGCATTGAAATACTAATAG